GCCAGCGTCCGCCATCCTGCGCAACCTCCAACGCAAGAGCAGGCGTCTAACCTAGGTCCTGCGAGCGGTAGACGGCGACGTAGGCCACCTCCATCATGGCGCCGTAGCCACCAAGCGTCTGGTCGTTGGGATTTCCGGGCTATCCCGTGTTAGTCACAGGTTTGTTTCGTGCACTGCGCAAGGTCGTCGTAACATGGGACTTACCAGGGTCCCGCCGACGGCGACGTTCAAGATGAAGTAGACGGGCGACTGGCACAGGGCCTTCCAGATGCCCTCGCTGCCGATCCTCTGGCCGCTAACCTGGTGAAACTGCTGGCCGTCACGGAACCAGGTGATGGTCTGGACACGCCAGTCCGGCGCCGTGCGGTCAAACTCGAGCCGCCACGCATGCCAGTCCCCGTCCGGCAGCGCCGTCGGCGCCCCGATGCCCGTGGGCGTATTGCACGCGCCGCCGCCGCCCTCGCGGTCGCAGTGCACCGTCCCCGTCACCTCGGCCGCGCCGTTGACGCGCTCGAGAATGTCAATCTCGCCGCACGCCGGCCAGTCGACGCCGTGGCGCATGGCGTCGCCCAGCATCCAGAACGCCGGCCACAGCCCCTGCCGCGTCGCCGCGCCGTTGGCCCCGAACCGCAGCGTCGCCTCGGCCAACGTTACGCGGCCCGCCCGCGGCGTGAAGACGTACTTGCTCTCGATCCGCCCGCTCGTCCACTGCCCGCGCGCGTCGCGCCACGGCACCAGCTGCACGGTCCCGCCGCCGGAGATTTGCACGTTGCGCGTGTCCTCGGTGTACTTTTGCAGCTCGTTGTTGACGTGGATGTCTGTCATGTAGTTCCACGTCTTGCTGTCGACGCGGTCGCCGGCTGAGCCTGTGAATTCTTCCGACCAGAGCTGCTCGAAGCCGCCGTACGTCGGCGCCGTCCAGGCTGCCGCCAGGGGCAGGACCGCCAGGACCGTTGGCAGGAGGGCGAAGCGCATTGTGGCGGATGCTCGTCGAAGGCTGTAAGTGAGGGACGTTGGTTTGGTGAACGGTCAGGTGCCGCAAGAGGGCGTTTGGGCTGGCAAAATGTAATGAGTGAGGGAACAGAAAAATGAAGGGATACACAACTTGGTGCTCTTAAAAGAATGTCAGGCGCGGCGTGAAAGGAATGGCACGTCCAGCGAGCTTGAAATGGTGAGGATGCCCAGCGGAACACGAGGATGGGATGAAAGATCCGAGGGTCGAAGGAGGGGGTTCGTCCCGACTTCAACATGGAGGTCACGATATATATGTATAAGAAAGTCAACCGACGACATGCCCTCTATACGCCAGACCAGGCCAAGCGAGCGGAAACGCTTCACTCTCCCGGACGGGAACGCCCAAGGTCGCATCCTCAACCACCTTCCCATTCCTTTCTGGCCCAACAAGTCCAGCCCAGGCCGATGCATTGCAAAGTCATATCGGAGGACCCCCGCGGGGCGGCAGACACGCCCCTCGGGGAGGTGAGCGTGAAACGGGGATCGACGAATGGCAGGCTTCGGAGGTGCTGAGCCAAGGGACAGCGGGAGAGCGCCAGCGGATCTGGGCCTGATCGGGGCAAGACGAAGAGAAAGCACGCGGCAGGGCAGGGGAGGTGGGCTTTTGGTCGTGGTGGGGTGATGAGCAAGGTGGTTGAAACGTCAGGGGGTGGCCAATTGCGATGGCGATACGTGCCATGGCTTGCGGGAGTTTTGCTGTGTTGGGCGGCGCGCGTGCGACGTGGCGAGCCGTCGCTTTGGATTTTCTGTCTCGAAGCCGTCAGTCACATCGCTGGGCACACAGGTTCGTCTGGTGATTGGATAGGACCTTTCATGAGGCTATCTTGGCCCTTGGATGGTGTTGCCCAATAATGTAAGCCAGCAGATGCCAAGGTAGCGACAGTGGTTTCATCAACGATAAACAGCCAACGTAGGCCCAGGCCGGGACTTCTGTCAGCTAGATTGCTCCCTTGCGTCGCATTGCTTAGGTGGATTCGGTAGCAATGCCAATCTGGCCAGCGCATGCATTCCCTTGTTGGATGGACACAGGATGACAGGCCAGAAAATTGCAGTGCTCTTCGATTTGCATGGGGATGGGTCAGTCGGATGAACCCAAGGGGTTGTGGCTATATCAGCCCTAGTAGAGCTAGCATTGTGGACTCAAAGTTGCATGGCAGACTCTCCCGTTTCCCACAGTCGAAGGAACCGAGTGCTAACTTGGCATGCGTTTCCCGGGCACGTGGATCGAGGACGGACAAGGCCAAACCAGGGCCAAACACTAACTATCCTTTCACGCGGACACACAAGAGATAAAAGGGGTAGCGCACTGGCATCTGAGAGCTCGACACCCCAACTGGACCGGGCGGCGCTTCCTTTCCCATTGTGCGCTTTTTTCCAGTTGGTGGCCTTGAGGCGCGACAATGCGGAGGCCTTGGAAAAGGAGCTTGGGCGATGCCTCGTTTCAGACTCCGGCTTTGAATCCCTGTTTCGAGCCTGTTATTGGGCGTTGCTTTGCTCGTCGTCTAAAGATACCTCAGGTAATCACGTTGCCCCTATTTTCGGGGTCTGTGAGCGTATGTTCTTGAAAGAACACAGGCCCCAGCACAGATGAACATCTTTTGTTCGATGAAGCCGATATAAGGGCAGCCAAAGGCTAGAGGTTGCATCGTGCACCCAGTCACGTCCTTGACGACGTGTCTATTAGGCTCACAACTCACGCACGATGCCAAGTCCGATTCAGCACGGCGGCAGGGATCGCCATTGATACCATTGGGGCGCATCCAGCTGAATGGAGACCCACGAGGCAGCGCGATGATCAATGCCGTCCTTTACCCCAGAATACTCCGACTGTCCCCCGCATTTTGGGTCGTATGTCGAAATACAGCTTCTGCTTTGAGTCTAGAGATTAGCTTTGTCGTTAGGGACCTGCACTTACCCCACGAAGCTCGACTCGGCTCGTATAGGTTTGAATCATGAGGATCCGGCCATGTGTAGCGCTCATCGTAGATTGGTGCGGGAGAGATGCATACCTGGCTGAGTTCGGGGTCTTGGCAATGGTCTCAAACGAGAACATATGCTTAAAAGCGACCATGTCTTCATTCCGTCCGCAGTTGGCCAAACATTTGGCAGTGCCACCGTTGTCAACTACGTGGAAGCGCCCATCGTCAATCTCCAACCATGTTCGCCAGCTGGAAATTAACCCTGTTGCAGAGCCTTCTCCTTGCGAGTAGCTCGTTAGCCTTCGAGAACCCTATCCGTGCGCCGGCCCCTGATCCTTCTCTGGTGACGGCAGATGGGGTGTACTACCTGTGCGAAGATTCTCACTCGTCCCATGGTTTCGAGGAACAGGCTTGCTGACCGCATCACAGAACTTTCACCTCCTACGATAAGATCACCATTGTTCGATCAAAGACCCTCAACGGTCTGATCGACGGTGAACAGCGAACAGTATGGACAGACGCAAACACCACGCGCAACGCCAACATGTGGGCCCCAGAGCTTCACCAGATTGATAACGTCTGGTACATGTTCTACTCGAGTTGTGACTCGGCTCAGCCCTGCTGTGACAGCTGCAGCACCAGGGTCCTGCGCGGATGCGACAGTGCCGGGCCCTACGACTGCCAGTTCGAGCATCTCGCGGATCTGATCCCTCCAGAAGGGCAGCGCGGCGGTCGCGACGATAACTTTGCCTTCAGCATCGACGGCACCTTTCTCGAGGTACCGGGTTTCGGGCGCTACCATGTGCTGAGCATCCGTGACAAAGAGTTCAACCAGGCGCTAGCCATCACGACGCTCGACACGCATGAGTGGACGGTCGGCGCGTGGCATGTCATTTCCATCCCCGATCAGCCGTGGGAGCGGAACGTCACGGGAGCTGCTTCGATTCCTCAGGCCGATTTGGTCGGTGTCAACGAAGCCCCTCACGTAAGTCCTCGCAGCCTACCCCGATACCACCACGACCCAACAGCTGACCCCTATCCAGCCCCTTGTTCACGGGGACGATCTCTGGCTTTGTTACTCTGGGTCCAACTGCGGAACGCCCAATTACTCCCTAGGTCTCCTCCACTGGAACGGTGGTGACCCTCTGCTGGCCTCGTCTTGGGACAAGACGGGCCCGATCTTCGCACAGGCCAACGGTCTCTACGGCACGGCGCACAACTCGTTTTTCACGTCTCCCGATGGCACAGAGATTTGGAACGCGTTCCATGCCACAAAGCAGGCTGGTGGTTCCTGTGGAGGGGATAGGTTCACATCGGCTCACATTGTCACCTTTGACGAGAACAACGTGCCAAGCTTTGGGGAGCCGCGCCCCATCGGCGAGGTCCAGGTGCCTCCCAGCGGAGAGCCGGCATGATATGCATTTGCTCGTCGGAACGTTGCAAATAGACCGCAACTTATTCAAGCCAGCATGTGCGAATCCATACGAGACACACACCTCAACGGAGCGCGGTTCTAAGACAGGTGCTCCAGGTCACACTCGAGAATCCACCTCATGACGGAGATCGCCATGTCCTTGGCCGCTGCCTCTGTCGAGGTCGCCTGGCCGTTATCCCAAGTCAACTCCTCAATCTGAGCCCGGTAGCCGGAGCCCTTTGACTCTGCGCCCTGCTGAGACGAGATTCGGCCCTTGATCTGAAACTGCTGATTCGCGGTCCAGCTGCGATACAGTGACACCAGGAAGATGCCGTCGGCGTCTGGTCCTTCTGCCCGGCTCATCCAGCGATCTTCCATGGAGAGCGGCTGGAAACCCTTGAGGAGTTTTGTGACGTCGCTCTGTGAGAGGTCTAGCTTCCACTCTGAAACGATAGGATTTGACATCGGATTGACTTTCCAGGTTTCCCCAACGACTCTTTCAAAGGGAACGCCTGGGAACCCTTGAGTGGGGGTTGATGTGGAAGCCATGTCGTTCGCTGCAGTGTTCAGCGAGAAGGGGTCCTGGAAAGCGGACGAACATGCAGAGCAAGCGTTGGTTAGTGACGATGGCTTGACAACGCGGGTTCAGCTCGGTCGCCGAGAGCTGGGGAACTGCGGCTTTATACCTCTCTGTCTACAGGGAGGGAGGCAGCAATGCAATCCGAGCCTGGCTGTGATTGGCTTGCAATGCCCCCTCTTTGACACACTATCGTGGCTTCAAGAGCTGAAGTTCATTCCCCTGGGCTGACTAAGATGAACGGCTGAGCCTGTTGAAGCTGACAATATGCCTCTAATAGCCCACGAGGGTCTAAGTAAGATTTAACCAGGGCCTCTGGTTTGTCGACGATTGATGTCTGAGTGCGAACTTCAATGCACTCAGAGTCATAGAGATGGGTTGGTGGGATTGGCGTGCATCAATTTTGCTAGCAATAAACCCTGATGCCGATGGAGGACTTGCTGTTGAATCATGAATGGTGCTCTTATGCATGAGCGGTCTGCAACCTTCACTGCAGGACGAAGGCATGTTCTTTCGGGGCGGTAATGCGATATAACGATGATACAGACAGCAGAGGCACGATCCATGTTGCTACTCGATCTGCATATACTATACCGGATAAAGATCGTAGGGTCCTACCACTTCTATAGACTTTGATTTCGGGTCTGATGCATGTCGCATCCCGAACTTCAAGCAACAAGAGCCTCACGATCTGCGCAGGTTTGTGGACTAGTCGCGGAAGCGTTTGTTGGCTCAAACAATGGCCTGACCTTGCATTGAAGGTATTGCCAAACTACCACCGCGTCAACTCTTGATACTAGCGCCAGGTGTCTTTGGTCTTCTCATAGGCTCATAATCATGGTGATTGACACCCAGGTAACGACAATGTAAACTGTCATCGAGATCACGCTTCAGCATGGAAAGTATTGGCGGACGAGTGGATCGGATCATATTCGGTCGTTTACTTCGACTTGAAGCATGTGAAGAGTTAGATGATGACGGTGATCTGGGTGATCTAGAAAAGCGGGCGTTCCTTCGGGACATGTTCGAAAAGTCAACGTCTAGTCGCGTATGTGTTCGAGTACGAGGTAAACAGATGGAAGCGCTCGACGTGCAAACAAGCGGGGATGGTTAGTGATGGAGACCAACATATCAAGACATCAGTAGCCCCATGGCGACTCCCTTAGTTTGAGCAAGGACGAACATGTGATTTCGATCATTTGACCAAGTTCAACATGATCGAATGTAGTGGGGCCATCATTGCAGTCCGGCACATTGGGCTCTAAGTGGAGCGTCGTATGATGATGAGAAATGTTCCTCGCATTGGACAGGCGGAGTGACAGTGTTTGGATTATAGAAGATCTTCAACGGCGATCCGAATGATGGGACCCGACGTCCACGAGCAGTGTTCCGCAATGCCGAGACCTCGCGACTCAGCATCCGACAACCCCGACGGCAGACGACTCCGTAGCCATGACAGGCACAAAGCGGATCTCTTTTAATTGACAGACCCTCCTTCTAGCTCGAAATCAACCTTATTTGGGTGACTTCCGTGCGTTTTCATCATCGCATCCCCGCATCACCCCAGCATCCGCTACCCAGTATGCCGGAGCCTCCCCCTCCGCGACAGCCAAAACCGCGCCCGGGTCCGACGTCCCGCCCGTTTTCCAATAATTGCAGATGATCTCTGAGCTAATTACCACGCAACCCATCGCGTCATTTCGTTCCATGGCATATAAGGACAGGCTGGTAGACGAGCGGCCTACTGCCACCCAAGCCCGGGGTGCAGGGACGGATCTTCAAGCCGAACCAGACTTGACGAGTCGATTTTCATCACTAAGCCATGCGGTCAATTGCTTTCTACCTCCAGTTTGCGCTCGCTGCGGCGGCAATCGTCAAGAGGTGCCCTCAGCAGCCTGAGGAGCCTGGCACGGGGAACACGACAACAGTGTATGAGGCCGAAGATGCTACACTGGTCGGCAGCACAAGGGTCGCGACCGAGCTTGCTGGATTCACTGGTGAGCAGATGTCTTTCGAAACATAGGGTCGATAAGATTCTTCTGCTGACACAACGCCTCAGGCACTGGCTACGTAACCGGCTTCGAGGGACCCAACGACAAGCTCACCTTCACTGTTACGAGCGCGAAGCAGGGCCTCTACGATCTCACCATCCGCTACGCCGGTATCTACGGCAACAAGTATACCAACATTGTCCTCAACAACGGTGGCACTGAGCAGGTCTACCTTCCCGAGACCACTGACTTCCAAAATGCCGCTGGCGGACAGGTGCTTCTGAATGCTGGCGACAACACGATTGACATCCTGACCCACTGGGGATGGTGAGTTCCGTCCGACCTCTTGATGGTGTCTGGCACTAACCAGATAGGTACCTCATTGACTCGATCACCATTGCACCCACTGCCCCTCGCGGACCGCACAATGTCAACGCCAACCTCGTGAACCCTAATGCCGATGCCCCTTCTAAAGCCCTCTACAGCTACCTCCGCTCCATCTACGGCAAGAAGATCCTCTCGGGTCAACAAGAGCTCGAATGGGCCGACTGGCTTCAGCAGCAGACTGGCGAGACCCCGGCTCTTCTTGCGGTTGACCTGATGGACTACTCTCCTTCCCGTGTCGAGCGTCAGGGCCAGGTCGCTACCACTGTCGAGGACGCCATCGAGTTCCACAACCGCGGCGGTATTGTCTCTGTGCTTTGGCACTGGAACGCACCCGTTGGTTTGTACGACACCCCAGAGCAACGTTGGTGGAGCGGCTTCTACACGGCTGCTACTGACTTCAACGTCGCTACTGCTTTGGCCGACACGACCAACGCCAACTACACGCTTCTGATCCGTGATATTGATGCCATAGCTGTTCAGCTCAAGAGGCTTGAGGACGCTGGTGTTCCCGTGCTCTGGCGCCCACTTCATGAGGCCGAGGGCAAGTGGTTCTGGTGGGGTGCCCAGGGCCCCGAGCCCGTCAAGAAGCTGTGGAACATTCTGTATGAGCGCCTCGTTAACCACCACGGTATCAACAATTTGATCTGGGTGTGGAACTCTGTTGAGGCGGACTGGTACCCCGGTGACGCGACGATCGACATCCTCAGCGCAGACGTCTATTCCCAGGGCAACGGCGTAAGTTGAACGACTACCTTCGCAAGCAGCAGAGAAACAAGGCTAATTAGCGTCACAGCCAATGTCCGGCTTGTACAATCAGCTCGTCGAGCTCGGCAACGACAAGAAGTTGATTGCGGCATCGGAAGTCGGTGCCGCGCCGCTTCCCGACCTTCTACAACTCTACGAGGCTCACTGGCTGTGGTTCGCCGTATGGACCGCGCCCTTCATCAACGACCCTGCGTGGAACAGCCTCGATGTTCTTCGAGAGGTAAGAATTGGCCAAAAGAGGTGCAGCATTGCTGAACACTTTGCTAACAGCCATACGCAGGTCTACGGCAGCGATTATGTTCTGACGCTCAGCGAAATCCAAGGATGGCAGGCAGCACATAGCTGAACGCTCCACCTTGGATAAAAATATGAGCCGTCATCTCATTGAATCGCAAGTTCGCGTCTGTTTCCCGTTCGTATAGTGGCCAAGCCAAGGGGTGTTGGACTTGACATCTCAGGAGCACTCGTGTTTCAATGTATCCAGACGGCGAATGAGATACAGATTTGATTTGTAGCTGCTCACCCCCAGACTGCGATGTAGGCAAAGCATTATGCACGATTGATGAAGTAAAGTGCGGGCGTCTGTTTACCTCGTATGGGCGCCTGCTTCGTTCTCCATGACCTGTAGACGACGCATCTCAAGCTCGAAGGGAGTAAAAGGCTGCGCCTTGAGATCGGTCTTCATCACGACGAGTGATTGCATAACCCCAGGACTCAGGCATGCTAAAACCGCCATTTACTGACCTCCGCCTGCTCGTGAGGGGTAGCCAAGGCTCAGCAAGGGCATACCATCCTTTCCCAGAATTATACCCTGTTGGGTAGTGACCGTAATGGAGATTCATGCAGCGACACCACCTCTAACCAGCGATGATCTTCACCCTACATAACCTTATCACGAGAATGACCCCAGCACTGGCCCCGGAATTGAATTTTCCCTCCCAGGAGCATCGAGTAGTCAAGGGCCACACCATCGGCGCATCTCAAGCTGGATCCGCAGTAGAAGCTACGTTTTCCTTAATTTTATCTATTATTTCCTATTATTAAGTTATTCACTTTAAGGCTAGAAGAGTAAATCTAACGCGCTAGAGACTAGAGAATTATTAAGCGCGTTAGAGCGGCTATTAACCCTAGCAATAGCTCCTAATATTAGTTCTTACGGCTATTCTATCTATAAAAGAAAAGAGAGCTAGTATTAAACTAATATTAGGGGATTCCCTAGGGCTATAATTAGGATAGTAATATCTAGGATTTATAGCTCTTAGGAGCAACGTGAATCACGCCTTACGTAATCGGTGAATTAGACAGGTATATCTAACTCATATAGGTAGCAGTAATTCAGACATAGCATTAATTAATCAATTAAAAACTATTAACTATTGTAAGCCTTATAATATATACCCTACCAATTTAGAGCTCGCAAGCATAGTAGAAGCACTAGATTAGGGTTCATATAAGCAGTGAAGCCCTCTCAATATAATAATAAAAATGCTAAAGCCTACGAGACGTTAGTGAAGGTCCTGGTCACTAGCTCTAGGAAATTGCATGTCAATATTCACATTATCAGCCTGGTGGTCTTAGCTTTCATCAAGGCAACCTGTGCCCAGCTCTCCGTTATCCCTAGTGTCGAATTCATCCCGATAGGCGATGGGACTTTGGATGTGTCGAGCTTCTCCACTATCATTGTTGATCACAAGTTCGCAAATTCCCGCGATGAGGATGGCGTAACACTTATCCCTCCAACCCTCACGGAGTTCGCCAAGACATTCTCGCAGGATTTAGCTTCGGTTCTCGATTGGAGACTGTCAGTCGAAACCGCTGGTTCAACCAACTCATCAGCTATTTTCTCAACGCTTGGAGACCCAGGCGACTTTCTCGACGCCGCTGGACGACCTACATCAGAGGGCTATTCCCTGGACTTCTTTCCTACTGGCATTACCATAACCGGTGTAAGCCCACTCGGTGTTTGGTGGGGCATGCGTACGCTCCTTCAACATCTTGCGGCAAATGGCACTGGGACGGCTCCCCTTGGGCGGGTTGTAGATAACCCTGGCTGGGCCACGCGGGGAATGATGGTGAGTGCTGATGATCAATATGATGATCTCCTTGCTGATCCTATTCCTAGCTTGACGTAGCCCGACACTATTACCCGATTGAGTTTTTGGAAGAAATGTGCGCGTACATGTCCTTTTATAAGCAAAATACCTGGCATATTCACCTCAGCGACAACCTCTGGAACAATGTCCGATTATATAGCTACGAACACCAGCAGGGGCTCTATGCTGCCTTCCGACTTTGGTCGGATGATCCAACGGTAGAAGGCCTCAACACCCGTCGAAAAGAATCTTACACTCGGGAAGAGTTTGATCGCCTGCAGTACACCTGCTCTTCGCGTGGAGTGACGATTCTTCCGGAAATTGAAGCGCCAGGACATGCTTTGGTCATCTCCCAATGGAAGCCTGAAATTGCTCTTCCTACTGACATGAGTCTGCTCAACATATCACATCCGGATACAATACCGACGGTCAAGACGATCTGGGGGGTCTTTTTGCCGTGGTTTCACACAAAGGTTGTCCATATGGGGGCTGATGAGTATCGCCACCCAACGCTCTCCGACGATTTTCTGGCCTCCGAATACACCCGCTTCGTCCAGGGGATCAACGACTTCATCGTTGCGAAGTCTGGCAAGCAAACCAGGATTTGGGGATCTTTCCCTCCCCGCCAGGGCGGCAACACGGACAAGGGGGTCTCGATCCAGCACTGGGCACCCTGGGAAGCCAACCCACAGTGGGATTTCCCCCAGAATGGCTACAAGGTTCTTAACTCCGGCGACCGAGCCTACACAGTGGGCAAGTGGTCGGAGCCGTACCCTCAAGAGCTCGACCTCGATTTCATCTTCAGCGGGAATCCCGAGGGCGGCCCGTTCTATCCGAACATCTTCGATAACAACAACGCGACAAACAATGCTCCTCTTGACGATCCGAATATTCTCGGCCACATTGCTGCTCAATGGAACGACTTCTGGCCAAACGCGACAACGGTCCTCGAGGCCTACTACCAATGGAAAGACGGCATTGCAGCAGTAGCAAATCAGCAGTGGGGCAGCAAGCTCTTTCGCGAAGACTATGCCGACTTGTATGCTGTCCTCCAGCCCCACGCCCCCGGACAGAACCTTGATCGTCGTATTCCCTCAGTCAGTCCTACTATTGTGGATTACGACTTTGTCAAAGGTCGCCGTTGCAACGGCAAGTACAAAGATGAGTCTGGAAACAACTACCATGCGGTCTCGACATGCTCCAATTCAGACGAAGGAATCATTCTTCAGCCTGGGTGCGAAGTGAATACACCTCTCGACTCTAAGGGCCGAAACTATACTCTGAGCTTCAGTATCAAACCAACCAGTGACGTCAAAGGACCTATTTTGAGGTAGAGATAGCGAACTATGGTTCGGGAATGGTACCTCGAACGCTGTGATGCTTTTCTCGGGAAAGAGTGCGTATGCCTTGAATTATACGTTCCCAATCGGCGAGTGGACAGAGGCAAGTCTCGCAGGGCAAGGCAGAAGTACGTAACTCGATGTAAGCGAGGGGCCCATGGAGTTTCTGACAATTCTTGGCTGGGAGGGGGACAAGAATGTGTGGACATACATCGGCATCGAGGCGCCTTTGAGAACTATCGGAGGTGGAAGTTTTGAGGGTGCCATCGGGAAGATGATACTTGTCGATGATGCCTGAATATTACATCAATGTATCGGGCTATACATAAAGGAGATTCCACCTTCCCTGACCATCCCTTTACAGGGTTGCCACCAGTTAGGTTGGCTACCGAGCAGGCTAAAGTTCAACAAGGCACCTGTCTATTGCGAATCCCAGAAGATGATTGACTAAGCGTAGCTAGAGGAGCCTGGAAGTTGTTGTCCCATCATCTAGCGCATCAATAGGTAGGCTATGCGTGCAATCGAACTTTGAGTCGATTGATCTGGGGTCAGAAGCCCTGGCCATACTACTCTGAGTCGAGCTCTGGATAGTGCCTGTAAATGCCGTCTCCGTACTTCTGCCTCCTCTCACTTGCGAGGTATTCCTTAATCTTGGGGCGTTCCTTGACAGCATCGTAGAGCTTGAAGACCCCATTAAATCTGCTACTGTCCTCCAGTTTGGCCAATGCCTTGGGGAAGGCGAATTTGACGCCGTCGATGCACTGGCATATGGTCAGCAGCGGGACTTTTATCAAAAGAAGTTCAACCCACCTGGAAGAGGACCAGATCAGCGTACGTGAGCGACCCGCCATACAGCCACGGTCCCTCTCCGCTGGCCTCACCCTTGAGGACGCGCTCAAAGTAGCCAAGGAACTTGGGAAGTCGGTTCTCAACGTAGTCCTTTGCTCTTTTCTTTGACTCCTCCTTCTGGTCCTCATAAGTGAGGCCCGTGGCGATGGGGTGGTGTGTGTCGTGGACCTCATTGCTCAGGCCATCTAGCGCCGTTAGAGCTAGCTGGTTGACGTGATAAACCCCGTCATTCTCATCTCCGGGCTTGGGTGCTAGGCCGTGACGGATTCCGAGGTACTGGAGAATGTTAGGCACCTGTGAGATGAGAAGGTCGCCGTGTTTCAGGATTGGCGGTGCGAAAGGAGGAGGATTCGAGGCGTCCCCTGTGTTGGTGTCGGCGGTATGCTTCAAAACCTCGTCGATTCCATTTTCAGCTGCTGCAGTGTCTGTATATGAGGCTCCAGCTTCTTCAAGGACGAGGCGAACATGCTCTCCCCGCCCGGGAACGCCAGGCCAGTAGATGAGGTTGTAGGAGACGTCCTTGGCCGTCTTTGTTCGCTTCGCAGAGGGAGATGTAACAGACATGATTTTAATACGTGGATCGTGGTTTCCGGTATCGTATCAATCGATGAAGAGAGATATTGAGCTTGAAATTTCGATGCTAACAGGACGTCGTGTGTGAAGTTCAAGTCGAAAGCCGAAAGCGCTGAAGCAGTGCCGACCCATCAGAGAGTGGGGTAAGGCGCCGCCGGAAGTGATGTCATGTGTCGGAATTGACTGTCGCTGCATCAGGTTGCACTATTTTGACGTCAAAATTGTGTAACCTTGTTCCTGATAGGGAGGTCTCTACTCCGAACCAGATGAGAGGTATGCAAGCCCAAACTTAGTTCGTAGCACGCAGGGTAGGGCACGGGGTTGAGGTGTGTTCATTGGAGACGACCGGCACCGCTACAGTGATTTCACTCTACCACTAAATCTATCCACGAAGAAGAAAAAAGAAAATGATTGAGCTTTACTACAGCGTGCGACATGAAGCATCTAGAGCTGGTAAAGCTGCTCCAATGAGTTGAAGTCATTGTTGTAGGCCGATAGCAATGCCTGATGATACATTGAAGGTTTGATTGGCACGACATGCGTTCGTGATCGGGCGTGTCTGCTGTGAAAACCCGGCTTATTATATGGGTTTGTGTAGCAGTTTGATCGCGATCTCCAGGGATTTCAGCTATTTGCCTGATAGATTGGCCAACGACACGGGAATGTCGCGTCGTACCAACCCCTGCTCATCGAAGGCCTGGATGCATCCCGTCGATCTGGATGCGCAGCGTCAGCCCTGTTGACATCGTACCAATAGTGGCCGGATTCTGCCCCAATTATCGAACGACTTGGCTTCCTCGGACTTTCTACCCCTCGTTGAGTCGGATTCACTTTCGGCTGAATGCGTTGGACCACGACTACCGATTTCTACGTTATATGCTACTGCACATGCCGAGTCTGGCTCTAAAAAGCAGTATCGTGGCTTGCAGCCAGATCAAATGTCATTGTCTAGGTATGTGACGGCTGCGGCTCATGCTATCGTCTGTGATACTGTGCCCTGGTCTGTGAGATGCAAACTCATCTCCGCACGTCTCGAGTCATGGCACGCTGTCATGTCATGACAAGAGATAGCAGAAGCCCCGGTTTGTGTCAGTGTCTGGGCGAGAACGCTCGAACGAAGCTGCGGTAATACTACTCTTCTCGCTCGACCAAAAACATGGCTAAAAGATTTGTCTACCCGGCTGTTCGTTCCATCGAATTGTGAATCAAGCGCAAGTTGGCTATCATCTGAACGAAGTCGTATCAGTCCATGAAGAAGCTCGGAGACTCGGCTAGCCAACCACCCTACCAAAGTTGTACGGGAACATCACATGAACACAAGCTCCCAGCAGGGGTTTCTCCTCCACGACCATTCCTTTGTTCTCGGAGTAATTATTTGGGACCCCAACGAAACTCCACTGAGTTTAGCTCGTCGTGGGGTATTGACCGCCAGCAATACACGAAACTTACCCTAGCCTGATCGAGCAGTGCTGCCGCCAAATCGCAACTACCGAACCAGGGCGTCGTCAGCCAACTCCCCGCTTCCAAAAACGCCCCTTTCGATTTCTCCTGAATCTCGGCATAGGGGCAAGGCAATCCATATGAAGGACCTGACATTCTTGGTTGATAAGTTCTATTCCGGGTCAACATGGGATGACCAGTGATATAAAGCCAATTTCTTTTCGCATGCTAAGTGATCTGACTGCTCTTGGTGTGTTATTTCGCATACAATCTTCTGCCCGTCTCTCTGCTCAGGCTTAAGAGCAACCCTGCACATTAAGTCAGTCTTTTAAACCATTTTATGCAGCATGGTTCGTTCTGGTCACCTAATCTTCCTGTTGCTTGGGTTGGCGACAGCCACATGCAAGCTCTCTATCAACACTCCTGCTGCATTTGAGGAACGATGCAGGAACCAGCCGGCATTTCTTAGAATTCCGAACTCCAATGCCACATCAGCGGAGTTTGTGCCTGCAGGAACTACTCTCCTTTTTCCAAATGCCGTGCCGAGCTGTGGTCGCACCTCTCAAAATGTTACCATCGATCTCTGCCGTGTTACAGCCGAGGTGGCAACCTCTGCTCCATCGGGCATCAAAATGGAGACTTGGCTGCCGCTGAACTGGTCTGGGAGATTTCTGAGTACCGGCAATGGTGGCCTTGGAGGGTGTATCCAATGCGAAGACATCCAGTACGCCGCCTCGCTGGGCTTCGCAACTGTCGGGACAAACAACGGACACGACGGCGGAGATGGATCGACATTTACTCAGCTTGAAGTTGTCGAGGACTATGCCTATCGTGCGCTGCATACTGGTGTCGTCCTCGGCAAGCAGGTCTCCAGAACCTTCTACGGCAGGCCCCATACAAAGAGCTATTACCTAGGCTGCTCTACGGGTGGGCGTCGGGGCTTCAAGGAGGCTCAGAGCTTCCCTGACGATTTTGACGGCATCGTTGCAGGCGCTCCGGCATTTTCGTTCAACAATCTCACGTCCTGGAGCTCATTCTTCTATCCATTGACCGGTCCACCGACCGCCGATACCTTTGTGCCATTTAGCGTATGGCCTTTGATCGCAAAGGACATTCTAAAGCAGTGCGATCACCTTGACGGCGCTGTCGATGGTATTCTGGAGTCGCCAGATTTTTGCAACTATGATCCATCTGGTCTACTCTGCGCCGAGGGTCAAAATAGCTCCACGTGCCTGACGCAAACACAAGCGGATACGGTGCGAAGCATCTACTCTCCTCTACGCGACGTGGAAGGGAGCTTTGTCTATCCTGGCATGCAACCCGGCGGCGAGTCCACCGAGGCTGTCTTCGCCATGTTTAACGGCAGACCTTTTGGTGCGTCAGACTGGTGGCAGTACGCCATCTTCAACGACTCCAGCTGGGATCCCCTGACGTTGAAGAAGGAGGACTTTACTGTCGCTTCGCAGCTCAACCTGTTAAACATTGACACGTGGGAGGGCGATCTTTCGGCGTTCCAGAGGAAGGGCGGCAAGCTACTTCACTACCACGGCCTGGTAGATGGTATTATCACCAGCGCGAACTCGCCTCGATACTACGAGCATGTCTCGCAAACCATGAGGCTTTCTCCTTCCGAGTTGGATAAGTTTTACCGCTTTTTCCGCGTCTCGGGCATGGCGCACTGCTTCGGTGGACCTGGTGCCAGTAACATCGGCAACGGAGGATTCACCCCGCCAGGTAGCCTTAAGCCTGAAGAGAACGTTTTGATGGCCATGGTACAATAGGTGGAGAAGGGCATCGCGCCGGAGTATGTGGTCGGAACCGCCTTTATCAACGGAACACAGACCGCTGGGGTTGATTACAAACGGCGACACTGCCGCTGGCCTATGCGCAACATGCAGCGCTGCACTCCGACCAAACAAGTTAAATATAGGTGTCGGATTTAGTTGTTTGGTCCGCCGAAATCGATGGATTTAGTTATTTGGTCCTATTTGTAAATATTTGACTTGTTTAGTTAGTAATGAGGCCATCACGATAGTCATTAGCCTACCTAAGACCTAGATTCCATAGTATTAAGACTATTCGCCGCTATCGAGCCCTAATATAATCCTCTTAATGCCCTGCGCGCGAGGATATAAGCTGATTAGATAATATATATAGGGTCTTCTTAATATAAACTAGAAGAAGTTTTAGTAGCTTAGTTAATTAGGACCTCTAGTGCCCTACTAAAGGCTATTGGTTTAAATCCTACTATTAGCGTTATCGTATTGCTAACAAGAGAATCCCTCTTATTAATAGTACGACTATTTTTATTAGTCGGATAGGCCTTTATATAAGTCCTAGGGCTCGGAATAGCTATATTCCGGGCCTGAATGCGCGTTTAAACGTTTACTGAATATCTAAATATCGAAATACTATGGATTTAGTTATTTAATTATAGGAAATCGGTCTATTTATTTAGTTGTTTGATGATTTAACTTGTTATATTTGATCGGGGTGCATCGCTGGCAATATGTATCAGTGTCCTGGCGACGTCAAGGACGAGAATAGCTGGGCGTGTGTTCAGTAGACGCAATGTCACGTTGTCGTCGGGGTGTACGTTCTGAAGTGTTTCCTCATTTCTTCGTTACGCACCGCTTGCTACTGGCAGTACTGTGCATATCCAACTACCTAGCTTTGTCGTGGCTCGTTGACAGATCTCGCAATAAAAGTCAGACACGCACTGCCTCCCGCCGACGCTACCCAGAAGCTTCCTTCTGTTCTCATGAAACATCGCGTTATTCCTTTCTCTCGAATTGCTCCGACTCGATGTACTTCTTCTCGTCGGAGACGGAGTCGGATCGCTCGGGCACGAGCTTCTTGCCGCGCAGCTGGGCCCAGACGGCCTTGTGCATGGGCTTCATGAAGAGAGCGTCCATCTCCTCGAGAGTGATGCCTGGAGGTCAAAGTTAGCACTGAGTAATGATGCAAGGCGAGGAGGTAGAAAGACTTACCCTTGGTCTCAGGAACGAAAATGAAGGCCCAGATACCCATGCAGACGAGAATGGCGCTGAAGAAGAAATAGGCACCATAGCCGAGATCGGAAATCATGTAGGGTGTCGAGCGCGCAATGATGAAGGAGCCGAGCCAGGTGTCGGCGGTGGTGATGGCAACGCATAGCATTCGGATGTCGAGGGGGAAGATCTCGGAACAGTAAGTCCAGGTGATGCCCTGCCATGTGGCGCAAATAATGAAGCCGTTGACATAGACGCAGACCATGGCGAGGTAGCCCCAGGCATCGCGGTTGACGACACCGGCGGCAGCAGCACCAGCGGGATCGGCCCTCATGACGTAGCCGCCAATGTACCACATGGGAATGCAGCCGAGCGCGGCACCCCAGATGAGGCCCTCGCGACGTCCGACCTTTTCGACGACGTAGAAGGTAAAGCAGATCATGCCGAGCGTCTTGGCAATGCCGTAGAAGCCGGTCGAGAACAGGCGCAGCGAGGTACCGGACACGCCGAGCGTCTCGAAGATGCGGGGGGCGTAGTAGGTGATGATGTTGACGCCGGTGAAACTCTGGAGGAACATGAGCGCCATACCGATGCCCATGCGGTTTCGGGTGCCCTTCTGGAAAAGCTTCTTGAACTGCTGCTTCTTGCTCATGCGCATGGTTGATCGCTCCTCGACCTGCTGGCGGATCTCGCCCATCTCGCGGCGGACGTATTCGTGGTCGCGGTCGAGGCCGCGCAGTCTGCAGAGGATACGCTCGGCGCCTTCAAAGTCGTCACCTCTGGCGAGCCAGCGGGGAGACTCGGGACACCACCACATGCCGAAGAATAGACCGACACCGGGAACCAGTTGCAGAGCGAGGGGGATGATCCATTGGGCTTGCGACTTAACGTTGATAGTCTGGTCTGTTGCGTAGTTGATCCAAAAACCCAGCATGCCGCCGCCTTGGGAAGCGATTTCGAAGATACCGACGAGTCGACCACGGATAGACGGCGGTGCTGTTTCGGCAATGTAGACAGGGACGACGAGAGAAGAAGCGCCAATACCGAGACCGGCGATGGCGCGGCCTGCAATGATCATTTCGAGCTTGCCGTGGGCGGCGGTCATGAGAGTACCTCCGATGAGGAAGACGAGAGCGGCGAGCATGACGGTCTTGCGACGACCCCATTTCTCGGCGAGCGGGAATGTGAGGAGGGCGCCGAAGAAGCAGCCGGCTTGGAAGGTAGAGACAATGTTGCCTTGGACAGTATCACGGTGAGATTGGGACTTGCCAGCGAGGTCGAAGTCGCGGCGGAACGAGTCAAGCGCCATGGTGCCGCCGATGACGGCCGTATCATAGCCCACTAAATGCTGTTAGCATGGCACAGAATGACGAGATGTGCCGGTCGTAGACGACGCAAAGACTGGCTAAACATACTGGCAAGAGCAGAGCAGGAGGCGACAAGGGCGACAAGATGGATGCGCCAGTTGCGAACCTCGGGGGGATCAAGGGTCCCGGAGGCGTGGGTGCTCCAACCCATGATGGCGATGATGTCAAGTGAAAACCTCTGCCTGGATGGTTGACTAGACTTCAAGCTGCGCAGTCGAACTCTTTGAGAGATCGAGTAAGCCGGAGACGAGAGAATGCTTGCTTCTCGGGTGGGGGAGAGGTTGCTTCGTCAGGGTCTATTTCGATCCAAGGCTCGTGGGCTGCTCCATCGTATTATATAGGCGAGCCCTTGGTGCCCCATCGCTCAAAACTCTCCATGGAACCCACCCCCAGAACCAGGGTCGGGGTGAGATGTGGGATGGACTGGAGCACGAGATGCCGCGCCGTCGACGGCGCCGGCCAACGACCGTGAAGCATGCACCCTGGAAAGGTCCGTAGCGGCCCGGTCTGGGGGAGGGTCGGACTAGCTTGGGCAGAATACAACGGTGTTACCCCGCGCTTCCCACATCGCGAAGCACAAGAAGGACGGGGATCTGGTCGCGCTGGCAGCGGCAAGGTCAGGTTGGCGTGTGGGGATGGGCTGGATGTTGATCTGGGGGAGGGGGCGGTTAGGGGCAACTAGAGTCAGAGATTTCCGGGGAAATATCGCGAGGCGAAGGAGGGATCATCGCGATAGAAGCATGGCGGACAGCAGGGTCGTTTCGTTACATGGTCACACTTGTCTATGCCCCCTGGTGTGAGTGCTGTTCTTGGCACTCAAGACGATTGGACCAACGTCGGGATCCGCGAGTCAATGGGTGGTAAGATATTCATGAGGATTGCGGGTTTGTAGTAGATGGGTCGGCATTTCCGACGATGGATTACCTCACGGTGCATAGGATGTGCCAGCAGAAAGAAAACAATGTTGGTAATGGGCGGCATGGACTTGCTCAATGATGGTCCCGAATCTAGCACGATGGAGGCGCATGCAGGCGAATGGAGACTGGAATCAAGCGTGCAGACTTGTTAAGAGTCTCGAATCCTGTGCTCGCGTGCTCTTCTTCGCGCCCGCAATGGCAGCCGGCCTTGCGGGTTTCCGCTCCAAACTGCAGTAAACGGCTACACGGTCCAACGCCCAGCGGCCATATCAGGTTCTTGGTGTCGGACCAAATCCCGCCCTAGATGGAGCCGCACTACCCTCGTGATGAAGCTAGACTATTGCTTAAGCTTAAGTCGGTGGGGCAGTCCAGGTTCACCGCGGGGTTTTGACGCAGGGATTGGGCGGTAGAAGCGCACACGATGCATCGCAACCAGGGGGCTATGTCGTGAAGTCTGCATTTCGGCCAGTTTCCGAGCAGCGGCAGTTGGCTGACTCCTTCCTCTGGTCTGTCGTGAAGTTTCACAGCTGAGAAGAGGCAAGGAGCCATGGCGGTTGTGGCGTGCTGAAGCGCCAGGTCGAGTCCCGAAGTTTTCCGCATGGGTGACCATGGGGTGGACTAGAAGCACGGAAAAGTCGCCAGTGTGTCTTGTCCTGGAGCGAGACTTGAGCTTGTGATCCGTGGTATAAGACGGGGGATGACCGAGAGTCGCGTTTGCTAAACCCAGAAAACATGCGTCGAAGTTCGGAAACCGGCCGAATGTTGCATCTCGACATGCGTCTTGAGGCTCGACAAGCAGCGCCAGGGTCGGAACTTGGCCGACTCTTGGCGACGGCCGCAGATGAAGGATGCGGGTGAGGCTGGCTGCCGGTGGCCATCCCGGCGAACAACACGAAACCACGACCTATGAAAGCACAAGAGTAATCGTAAAGCTCGTGAAGAAGACTCGGGCTCTCTTCAGCTTCGTCAGTTTTTTGGGATCATCTCGCTTGGAGGAGGCAATGTATCGCGCCAAATGCTTTACACAGACCAGCCTCTCCGATCGCTCAAGCATGAGCATGGGTGTGGCAACATGGCGGGCATACATTTAGGCTCCGCCTGTTGACCTGATGGATCCTGGCCGTCAGCTTTTCCGACGGTAACCCAACCACCACCACATCGGCCATTACCCACAACACCGAGGGCAGTATATCACACACCTACCGAACCAACGCGATTAATCCCTAGCGTCGGCCATCCTCCGGCGGTCGTCTCCACTGATCCTGCAGCATGGCCTGATTGCTACACAAGAAGAAGTGAAATATCATGAGAGAAGGGCAAATGAGGTGTGCTGAAACGATCCCCAGATTCCCCACAACGTGAGACGCGCCGTCAACAGCAAGCATTCTTCGGATACCATGTCTCCTGACAACTCTTGCGTCTGTTGGCGGATGAAATAGTACAAGCCGCTGAGGAAGCCCAACGCTATTACCCCAGACACATCCTGATTTCCCCAGATTATCAACTTCCGTTTCCTTCGTTTCTTCTCGTCGAACCCACCTCACCCGCCATAGCACATGCGCTGGCCGGCGCCTTTCACTGATCCTCATTGCCGTGCATCTTGACCCCGCCTCATCTGGCCCCCAATGTCCTACTCGTGCGCATACTGCTGTGGCAGTCTGCGACGCTCCCTCCGAAATTTCTCCAGCCATCGTTCCCTCGACTCTATTCCCCCAAGGCAACGTTTCTGCGAAAGTGGCAAGTGTCATTTTGAATGAGGCTTCGAGCGCGGGAACAACCCCGAGAATGACGTCGCACACTGATGTCCTAAAAGGGAGGATTAGCGACGATCTCACAGGGCCGCCGCAGCGCCACATGCGTGGCACCGAGAGGGGTGGTGTTCAGAGCCTCGGTCTTGTGCCCCATCGGTAGCTGTAGTCAGGGGCCTGCGCTCGGGCTTGAAGGGGCGCTACAGGGGCTCTGCAGGGGCTCTAGTTGGGCCGCAGTCCTTCGTCTTGGTCTCACACCTGTGCCAACGACAGGCCATTTCTGTGGTAGTTCGCGACCGAGGATACGACATCCTTGGGTATTGGTGAAGTAAGCATGGCTACCAAAGTTGATTGGCAGCGATTCTAATACTCGTAAGAGTTGAATTGCTGTACGAAATTCGTACCAAAACGAATTGCTGGGTTGCTTGATCGTGCCGAGAGTGGGGAGTTTAAGCAAACAATACCTCAAGGCGTGGATGGTGGTTCCAAAATGTACAGGTAGTGAGCTCCGCCACAATGCCGCCGATGTCCCGACGTTTACCAATGGTCAATCGCTTAGATTACTTAACGATTTTCATACCTTGTTGAAGCACTATTGCTTTGTTCATATCTGCTTATATGGGGTCGGATCAGAGGACAGGTAGTTAATTGCGCATTTGGGTCAAATGTTGACAGCTCAGCCGAGCGCAGCAAGAGCTCAGATCCATGAAAGCAACCGAAAAAAATTATTATTCATTATTCATCCCGTCTGTACGGCTTGTATACTGTGGATGGTAAAGGCGGTAGTGGCCGATCCGCTATACTTGGGGGAACGGAAAAGTGGGAAGCCTGATGTATGGAAGGCGTCCTCATCGACGGAGTATAGTACGACATCAACTCCGGTGACAACACACTGCTGCTTGCAATGCTCGCACCCCCCGAACTTGCTATGCTTGCGACGCTCTGCCTCTGCTTGGCGAGACTCTGCCTGGCGAGGCTTTGCCTCTGCTTCTGAACTGGCTTCCTGCGAATTCCCGGTGGTGGCAGTTCCGTAGGCTTGACCTTCTGTTGCGGCAGCACTAAAGGCTCGGGCCAGCTGGTAAGTGGGTTGGGGCTGGGAATGGGACTGGGCTGTGGCGAGTCGGCGTCCATCATTCTCATCTTCTCCTCAAGCGCCGCTGCTTCTAGTGCGGCGTTCGCCGTCTCCGCTCTTCCCGCAATGTCACGGCGAGATTTGCGCAGCATTGTCGAGATTGTGCTCCTTGAAGCACGCGAGGAGCTCGGCTTGAGCTTGCCAGACTGTGTGCTGTACTGCTCATTATTCGAGCTGCTAAGGGTTGATCGCATTGTCGATCGCATGGTCGACCGTGTTGAGAGGGTAGGCCAGCGGAAGATTTTGATGATGCCGGTCTCGCTCTCGGGTTCAGGGGGTGGAGGGCTGTGTTGGGCCCATGCAGCTGTAGTGGCTTCGCGATCAAACTGCGAGGGCTGATCTTGAAATTCGTGGTAGTGATGGTGTTCATGATAGTACTCGTAACCGGCTTCAGGGTCGGCAGAAGCATCATTTAGGGGTGGTAAAGGAGGCTTCTTGTCGTAGGGATGTGCATTATTAGGTAGTTGAGCAAATGATAGGCGTCTTTGGCGTCTTCGACGCCAGAGGAATAAGAAAAGAGCCACAAGGGCAAGAACACCAACTGCCTGGCTATCAGCTATATCTTCAACATCGCCGGTAGGTGTTGACTTACAAGTGATGCCAAAACCTAGGGCAAGTTTGAAAGGAAGGTTGGAGTTACCGTCATCCTGAGAGCTGGTACTTGGAGCCTGTGCTGGCTCACCAGCCGTAGATGTAGTTTTAGGAGAGATAGAGGTGCTCGTTGTTGAAGGTATTGTTGAAGTTTCACGGAATAGATCTGTTGGCACACCCACACTGAGATGCGCTTCCTCGGGCTCGGCTGTGATTATAGGTGACGCTGATGATGATGATGATGATGAAGGTGCCTGAGGATGTTCCTGAGGTTGAGCAGTCATGACTGGTAGTGGAGTAGGAGATGGTGTAGAAGAGGGCACCGGTGCAGGATCTGGCACTGTTACGACTTGCTTTGTTGTGACAACTGTTTGGGCCTTCTCAGTCGTAGGACTAGGACCAGCTTGAATGGGCGCTGGAGTCGGCGTCGGCTTTGGAGTTGGGGTTGATGTTGCCTTGGGAGCGGATGTTGGCTTCGGGGCCTGAGTCCTGGGAGTCTCTGCAGGCTTTGTTGTCGGTGATGGCGCAACTTGAGAGGTGGAAGTCGTGGCCGCCCCTGGATTAAGGATTCCTTCAACGAGCGACTTGGGTCCATTCAAGATGTCGCCAATGATTCCTCGGCGCGAGATGTTGCCATCCGGCCTGGCCTGCAGGCGTTTTGCACTGCGGGAAGGCATGATATAATTAATCAGAGTTCCGATAACGCTGTGAAAGGGTTGTAGGTGTTCATGACATGGTCATCCGATCCGCCAAGTAGGTACCAAGTTAAGAGAAAAAAAAAAGAAGAAAGCGTAGCTAAGCGGCAGAAGTCGTCTCCTGGGTCAGTTTCTCCAGGACCCTCCTAGTCCAGTTCGTCTGAGTCCAGGAGGTTGCGATGAGGAAAAAGCAGAGCCCTGGGACAAGAGAAAGCGGAAACAAACAAAGTTTCTCGAAGTTGACTGGGGGGTTTTGAGCCATCACGAACTCGAGGTCAATGCGACGGCTGGCCTGCACTAAATCGACCTTGGTGTGATTGCGGCGTCTGTGCACAAGGCTCCGGCCGCAACACCATGCTTTTTCTTGGAGCTACGGTGTCTCTGGGTCACAGTAGCTGCCGTCCGAGCGACGACGCCTCGCCTATTCAAGTCAAATCCCGTTGCTCAGATGCTCTAGGCATGCAGCCGCCCGTCGCGATAGCGTGATGCGCACAGGGGCACCCCAAGCCTCCACCCCCCCTTCTCAGCCTGGGAAGTGTATCGTCAGTGTCCAGGTTTGCGCCAAGGGCACCATGGCTTACTCGTGCTGTAGCGTCCGGTGTGGCATCGTGCGTACCAGAGCCCACCGTGCAGATCGGACGACAGCCATGGCATGTTTTGCGCGAATTGGGGGATGTAGCTGGTTGTCCTCTACTCAGCCGTAGGATGAGGCATCAGCCGCCATTCCTCAAATGGCTATCACTTCGCGTGAGACACATGGAGAGTGGGAGTCTCTGGCTGCGGGAGACATCGCAATTGCCCGGCATAGAAGTCAGCATCGAAAACGTGATCAACAGACATGATTGTGAGAAGATGCCCATCCCTTTCTCAGCCACCAGCTTCGATGGAAACCCCCAGGCGGAGAAGGTGGGACGAGGGCTTTTGAGGGTCATTCGCAACGTAAACCCGAAACCCCCTATGACGAAATTGGCGGCAATAGTACACCACAGCCAACTGGTGTACTCAGGGCAGGGTTTCCCGTCGTTCTTTAGCTAGACTGAAGAACAAACGAGCGCTTGACATCCGTCAACTCTATAGAGGACAGATTCCTACTCGTGTAGACTTTCTGCCACTTGATCGGTTGACACGTGGAAGGTTTGACGCCACGAAGGGTTTGAGATCCATCTGATTGAACTTTGCTTGACAAGTGCAGGCGAACGCTGCTCCGTAGGGCATGGTGGAGAGACATCGCGGGGTCGAACAACTGCCTTCGTGACTGACCGTCGTGTCATCCGTTTCCACGCTGGCCGATGTGGCGCGGCACGGTTTCGGTCACGGTCCCGGAGCTTGCTGTCCCTAGTTCAGCGCTACAGTTTCCAATCAGGAGCTGATCAAGAGGTGAAGCTCTGAGTCCGTCAGACCTACTTACAGGATGAAGAAGGCTTTTGCGGAACTGGTGCTGATTGGCGAAACCTACCCTGATTCGGCGCGCTTTGGGAATGGCTGGACAAATACAAACGAACAGAGAGCCCAAGCGTCTTATAGATGGGTACTAGGGCCTTCTGGTCATCGACCCTTCGGTCTCGACTTGAATGTGGTTGTTGGGGCCGTGGAGAGCATCAGGATGGAATGATGCAGGTGAGCAGGCCGGGCGTCGACTGCGCCTGGGATATCCTGGCTTCGATAGTGCAGATGCCCAGGCTGACCAACGGCATGATTTCTCCGACTCGGCCGAGACGCGACCAGCCCAAATGGTCGTAGCTCATCAAGTTATGATGATTGCACGGTCCTCCAGGTCGCGTCTCTACGTTCCCTGAAAGCAGAATTTGGCCCGTCTTGCGTCTCTCCGAGCGACCGGAGTTATTGGAGGTCAAAGCCAACACGACGGGTTCCGCCCCACTAGGTTGCCATTATCAAGTCATGTACGACACATGACCGTCTCTTTGGTCCTTTATATATCACCACATAGCCCACCCGTGTTGGTAGGCACCTGAATACTGGGTCTCCTCCTGACTCAAAACTCGGAATCGCCATCACGCGTGTAACTTTGGTGCTCAAACATTCCGAATAGGGCAGGTCACACATGAACGGATCCCGAACAGCAGTCTCATCAACCTGCCGAGCTCCGCAAGTGCGTCGCTAGTTATTCACTGCTACTCTCTCGACTGAACCTCAAATCTAACGATCGCAAACGTTGCCCTGCGGTTCCATAATGCTGCAGTCTGCCTTTAGGGCTGTTGGACGGGTAATTAAGCAGGAAACAATGCCTTGCTGAACCGCATCGAGGACGCGCCATACCAGACACTTGAGGCCCAAGACAAAATTGGGATATATGATGAGTGGTAAAAGAAAAAGCGGCTTTGAACACACCCAGAAAAGTGGTCATGAAAATGTACTCTGCATGCCCACGTGGCCAGCCAGCCATCATTCCGGCGACGTTTGGGTCTTGGCGTGAAAGACGGAGCCTTCCGTGTCAACCGGGGCAATGATTGACATCGTTTGAACTCCAAACGCATGAAACGTCATCCAATTCAAAGATCGCGGCTGGTTAAAAGCCTCCTGGGCAAGAGGCTCACTGAAGATCCACCGGTGGAGGGATCAGGCCAGGGTTATCGCGGGGAACCAAGATGCTGGGCGACGGAGGATAGCAGTGCGCGGTTGGATCGAGCAAGATGCGCCTGAGACGGCGCGCTGCACCTTGCCCCTATTGGCTTATCTCCACCAGTGCCTTACGATGATAATGCGGCCATGCAAACATTTACACTCATGCAAATTGCCTCGGTCTCCGGGAGAGCGGGGGGTGGCAAGCGGCTATTCCAGGAGGCATTGCAGCCCCACAGTCAGACTGGTACCGTTGTAGGCAAGCTGCCTCGAACTAAGATTCCTGGTATGGTCCTTCTATATTGCATTTGGTGGTAACTTTACTATGCGTAAGGCGCCAGCCGCGTAGTGTGCATCTCGCCGTTGAGGCTCTGCACATATCACACAACGTCACCATGGGTCGGCCGTCCCTTACAGCTTCTAATCCTTTGCAAAACTTCATGGGTTGGAGGGCACCTTTTCCTACATTCTGCAACGGAAATCGAATTGCAGCGCTGTCATCACAGAAAAATTGGCGTGGCCTTACAAGTCTGCGCTGCGTGACTTGGAAAAGTGGCGCTCGACGCTGGGCGCCATGGCAATATGCGGGGATGACATTCTTGTGTGTACTTGGCGATATCTTGGTGTTGAGCAGACCTGCCAACGCAAGCAGCAAGTCGGAACCAGTTTTGATTTTGCAAATTTGAATTTTGACTCTATTTCATTTTGAGTGAATCTTTGATCCAAGAAAGCCGACTGCGCCTACAATCTGTCCAATACCAACTGTCCCTTGCTCTTCAAGCCTCAGGACTTTGTCTTCCATTTCTGTAGACTCATGTTGAGAGAGATACATGTAGAACGGAATCTCTTGCTGCAACTCGGTGCCGCCCGTGATCCTCGGCGCCGAGCCGGTGGCAGGCTTCCGCGACGGGCCCCGAATAAGGCTTTCCGTCCTACCACAAACGAGCCGTCGTAATCCTATCCACGTCGAATATGACCTGGAGCAATGCGAAAAATACTGCAAGAAAATAAGATCAACAATTATGCAAGGAAACGGGACGACCTCCGTTCTGTACTTGAACATCGCCTCCAGATCATCAACTCGTCCGTCCGCCTTGGCTGCAGCTCCGGAAACCACAGCCGTCACTGAGTATGCTGACAATCAAGAGCTCTTCGGGACGACCTGAAATGCTGCCAATTGACACGAGGACTCGTTCTCGGCAACGGATGTACAACCATCAGTCTCGTCGCACTCGCGGTCCGGCATCCGCCCATCGTTCACCTCTTGATGGCTTCTTTGATATGATTCACGCTTCTGTTCCCAACTACCCTTGGCAATCTAGTGCCGTAGCATCCCAAGCCGTCAGGATCTGATGGTGCAAGGAGCACGATGTTCCGTTTCTCACAACTGACGTTCACAACCTATGGCAGAAGGACATCTTGACGGGTCGTCTCCTCCGGGAGAACTCTATATAATCAGCACTGACACTTCCCCTCGTCAGTCTTCTTTTCCCATCATCCCATCCACAATCTCTCAAGCCTAGCACCATCTTGCTCCAACCACACACGCTTCATCATGAAGACCAACTTCTCTGCCCTCCTGGCCCTTTTGGCCGCCAACCGAGCTCTTGCGCAGCAGGCCTGTAGCGTTACCGAAGAGGTTGCACCATCGCTAACATGGTCGAAGTGCTCGGCAGGCGGCAGCTGTGCCGCTCAGACCGGTAGCCTCGTCATTGACGCCAACTGGCGATGGACTCACACCGTTGAGGGTTACGACAACTGTTATGAAGGCAACTCCTGGGACAGCACCCTCTGCCCCGATGGCGACACTTGCGCGCAGAACTGCTGCGTTGACGGCGCGGACTACGAGGGAACCTACGGCGTCACCTCGACGGCTGACTCAGTCACTATCAAGCTGGTCACCGAGAACGAGCATGGTCGCAACGTTGGCGCTCGCTTGTATCTTACAGATGGTGGCTCTAAGTACCAGCTCTTCAACCTCCTCGGGAACGAGTTCACCTTTGACGTGGACTCCTCCAACGTGGACTGTGGTCTCAACGGTGCGCTTTACTTCATCTCCATGGATGCAGATGGTGGCCAAGGCAAGTTCCCTGGTAACCAGGCCGGCGCTAAGTATGGCACTGGATACTGTGACGCCCAGTGTGCCCGCGATCTGAAGTGGATTGACGGTACCGTAAGTGCTTTCTGTTCTGAGTGTTACTTCAACCAGGCTACCCACTTGCTAACCAAAATCATAGGGTAATGTTGAGGGCTGGCAGCCAGTCGGCGAATACGCCCCAGATGTCGGCACTGGTGACATGGGCGCTTGCTGTGCTGAGATGGATATGTGGGGTATGGCTCCAGTTCCTGTTCTTTCAGAGCAACTCACTTCTGTGCTTGACGCTGACCACAACCTACAGAGGCCAACAAGGCGGCCACGTCCTATACTCCTCACCCTTGCGTCAACAACGCCTACCATTCCTGCTCCGGCGATAGCTGCGGTGGTACCTTTTCTGCGGATCGGTATGGCGGCACTTGCGACGCTGATGGCTGCGACTTCAACCCTTTCCGCCAGGGCAACCGAGAGTTCTACGGAGAGGGCTCTGGCTTCACCATTGACTCCACCAGCAAAATCACCGTCGTGACACAGTTCATCAATGAGGGACCTGGTGGCGATCTCTCCCAGATCCGCCGCCTCTATGTCCAGAATGGCGAGGTTATCGGCAACTCCGAGTCAACTGCCCCTAACAACCCGGGCAACGCCATCACCGACGAATTCTGCGCTGCCCAAAAGGCGGCTTTCGGCGAGGAGCAGGATCAATTCACCGAATTCGGTGGCTTGTCTCACATGGGCCAGGCTCTTGATGCCGGGATGGTTCTGGCCGTCAGTCTCTGGACCGACGCCCACGCCAACATGCTCTGGCTCGACTCAACCTACCCCATCGGAGAAAGCGGCTGGGGAGCCGAGCGGGGACCCTGCCCGTCCGAGAACCGCACGCCTCCCGAGATCGAGGCCCGTGTTCCCGATGCCTCGGTCACTTTCTCCAACATCAAGTTCGGCCCCATCGGGTCCACGTTCACCGAGGGTGAGGTTACTCCTCCCGGCCCCGGTAACCCTCCTGTTGCCACGACCACACCTTCGACACCCGCTCCCACCCAAGCTCCCGGCGGCCCTATTGCTCCCCAATGGGGCCAGTGTGGTGGACAAGGCTGGTCCGGCGCCACCACTTGCGTCTCTGGTACCACCTGCACTGTCGTCAACGACTGGTACCACCAGTGTCTCTAGATTGTTGTTACGACACCACTTCACCGCTGAACCTTCCAAGCTTGTGCCAACATGCGCTTTAGTCTAAAAACAACGACTTTGCGGTGGGTGGGTACCTTCTCTTATGTAACTCGATCCTCGGGTCAATCAGCCTCCATCCTGTCAATCCCAGGTCAGGAGAAACCAGGGACTTGGCGTAGGCTACGTTTCCCTTCCGAGAACCACTCGAGGGAAGAAACAAAGAGGCTGAGGCCAGCTACTACAGGTTCAAGGTGCGGTCAAACGGTGGTGGTGACATTAAAAGGCATTTGCCAGTGTGGTCGCGAATTTCTGAAGTACATAGTTTTCTGCTGGCCGTAAAGCTGGTTTTGGTGTGGCAGTTTCGCCCTCACGCAGTATATAAGAACATCCTACTCTTCTTACATCCTTTTCCTACTTTCAGTTTCATGGTGATTATCTCATTTTGTCGATAGGCGTACCAGAGTACTGAAAGATCTGCCTTTCAGACCTGGTACCGCGAGAATGGCCCACTCATCCTGTGCCGGCTCTGACCGGAGCAACCTTACAAGGCCTAGGCTTCTATGCGACATACTTTGGATCAGCTGATGAGCTGCGGAGTTAGCTGCTGCAGGTAACATGCTTACACAAGCGCGTGGGTTCGTAGCATTCGATATCAGGCTGAATTCGGAACCAACTCTTTGTGAGCGCTTAAGTCTGCCGAGATGCGGAGGGCATCTTGGCTTTGGGGTAAAACTGAAATCATTTCCTAATACGTACAATCCTAGTTGGAGAAGACGGTGTGTGCCTGTGAGCCAAGGCTCTCTTTGAGGGGTTGCCAAGGGGAGGCATCTTGATACCTAAATCTGAAAGTCGGCGGGATCGGGCTTTGAAGACTTCACCGCGTCATCTCGAGCCGACTTTACCCAGATATCCATGACGTTCCGTTACTCCGGATCTTGCAGCTCGGCCTTTGACGTATATAAAACCACTCTGTGTACGACTGAGCCCCCAACTATGATTGATATGGCAAGCCCTGAACCCCTCAATACCCAGGAATAACCAGTAGATTACGATCCTTATTTGTCACCCATGCGCTCAGGAACGATCTTCGCCGTTTCGGCGGCAGTACTGTTGTCTGTCGCCTGTGCTGCTCCTACGGACGACACGTGCACCGAGGCAACCGAGATCATCATCCGTCCTGACCTCAAGCATCAGGTCATTGAAGGGTTCGGCTTTTCCGGAGCATTTCAGCGCGCCCGGCTTCTACTCAATGTTACTGAGACTGTCCAAAAGGAACTCCTGGACCTCCTTTACAGCACAGAAACGGGTATCGGATTTTCGATCCTTCGCAATGGCATTGGTTCTTCCAACAGTAGCTACAATGACTGGATGAACACCATCCTGCCTACCTCTCCTGGTTCTCCTGATGGAGAGTTCAATTATGTCTGGGACGAGTACGACTCCGGCCAATTCTTCCTCGCTCAGCAGGCTGTCAAGTATGGTGTTGACCGCATCTACGCCAACGCCTGGAGTGCGCCTGGATTCATGAAGAACAATAGCGATGACGCCAACGGTGGCTTGCTATGCGGCGTTCCGGGCAGCGACTGCGAATTTGATTGGCGCCAGGCATATGCCGACTACCTTGTCAAGTACATCAAGATCTACCAAGACGAGGGTATCAAGATCACGGATGTGGCTTGGCTCAACGAGCCTGATCTGACGTGAGTAGTGATGCCACTCGCTGCACAGGCTCTTGATGCTCATTTTGTGTAGAACCTCGTATGCATCCATGCGCTCCAATGCTGAGCAGACTGCCGACTTCCTGCCCATCCTCTGGGAGTCCCTCAACGCCGCGGGTCTCGATGTCGGCATCGCCTGCTGCGAGCTCACCGGCTGGGAGAGAACAGTCGAGCTGGTGGCTGCCCTGCAGGACCTTGGCGTTGAGGACCTGCTTACGACCTGGACCAGCCATGAATATACCTCCAATATTGATCAGCCGCTCGACACGGACATCTCGGTCTGGCAGTCCGAGTACTGCGACCTTTCCGATCGATGGACCACAGCATGGGACAGCGGCGTCTCCGATGGTGACGGTTGGTACTGGGCCGACAGGCTGCACACCGCTCTGACGGTTGGCAATGTGAACGCCTACATTTGGTGGTTGGCTGTGCAGGACGAGGCCACCAACAACAATAACAACGAGAAGCTCATCCTCGTCGAAGACGGAGAGTACGAGGTTGCGAAGAGAACGTGGTCGTTTGCGCAATACTCGCGTCATGTCCGTCCGGACGCGCAACGTGTGGCGACTGAGGGCGGCGACCTGAAAACGACAGCATACCAAAATGCGGATGGGTCGGTGGTCGCTGTCATCTTGAACCCTCACTACCATGCCGAAACCGTCAGCCTTCGGGTTGTTAGCTGCAAGGTTCGCGAGTTTGAGAAGGTAACTGCCTGGTTGACGGACGAGGATCACGACATGGAGGAGGTCGAGGTTGATGCCGATGACGAAGGAAACCTGACAGTGCAGCTGTCTGCTAGGGGATTGATCACCGTCAAGGCAGAGTAAATTCCTCATGCGTGATGAGGATCAAGCTTTGGGGGCTACAGTAGTGCAAAGGAGGTTACAATCGTTCTACATCATCATATAAAATACTCGTATCTTCCCTCTCAATGACCATCCTAAATCCTCATCCTGCCGCAAACCAGCAACCCACCAAAAGCTAAAATGCGATAAATTGTACCAATGGCGAAGAGCACCAAAGCTCCGACCTGCAGTGTTGCGAGGTTGTAGCCTGTGAACTTGGCCGCCATGTCGGTATCGTACAGATATTGGAAAGGCCCAGCCAACTGGCCAAAGTAGACCTCGGCAAACCAGGTGCCAGGTGATGCCCGCCAAAGCCACTCCATATGCCATGTTTTGACTTGTGAGAGGGCAGGAGATGCTCCTGAAAGCAGGCCGACGATGAAGCTGACCATTGTCGAGATGAGGGGGGCGTCTTCTCGTCGGACCACCATGCTGACGACACTTGCAAGACCATAGATGCAGTAAAAGTACAAGAGGTTCATGCAGTATGCGAGGGTCCAGCTAATTATGGGTCGCGAAAGGATGTGGACGAGGGTGGTGAAATGAAGGCAGCTAAGGATCATCCGAGGCATTACAGAGACCGTCTTGGCAAGGAAGTACGCCAGCCGCGAGTGGCCTGCTTCAGCCTCTCGTCTGTGTAGAATCACCTCTTCTGAAAATATCTTCACCCCCGGCGCGCCACATATGAGACCGATGCCGATGGCCTGGAGCAGAGCCAGCTGGGCTGGTGAGGCAAAGTCTGCGGACAGGCTAAGGTCCTCATAAGGCGCCCTGTAATAGCCTCGGAAGAGCACACCCTTTTTTCCATCTTGGGATAAACCAATGAGAAACCCTGAAAGAACGCTCAAGCCAATTTCAAAGAATAGTGCGGGCTTGAGACGATACTGTTGGAGCATGGAGCGGCGCAGGCAAAGCCATGTCTGCTTATGCCGGCGAAGCACCACGGCGTTTCAAAAGTGTTCTCATCGAGACTCTGATACTCTTTGCTCGAGAGTCATGCCAGACTCTTCATCGCTTTCGCTCTGA